CGCTACGAGCTGGAATTGATTCAACAGCAATGGATTTGCCCTTAGTTTTAATTATGACAGCATTCTTCTTTACACTGACTGAAAATGTGTCCTCTTATGCCTTTCCCTGTTGGTCCTAATTTTGTCCTTTGGGACACATAGAGCAAATCCTGTCCCTCTGCCATGTCTTTAACTTTAAACTTTGAAGATACTGTTTTCCTGTTATACATAGCATGCAATGAATGCATGATTTAGATTTGTATTGAAATATATCTGTTCTGTGGTTGAAAGAATTGATTAAAACATCCAAGTCAACTTGGGAGGTATCTTACTTTGCAGTTTTAGGATTGAGGTTTCTCCTCTAGCTGATGATCTTCCTAACAGATTGTCAGAAAAATGAAGTGACTGTATCATATTCTAAGGTAAAATTGATTGGTTGTGTCCTGTCCTAGGAAGAGATGTGATTCTCAAGGGGAATTGCATTTTTATTTCACTTGAGATCTTTGGTTCTCATCACTGTTCTCCCTTTGGCAGCTAAAGCCGTTGACGGATACGTGAAGCCACAGATCAAGCAAGTGGTCCCTGAGTAAGTGCCTAGGGTCCAGGTCTGGGTCTCCTGCTGCCTTTCTCCTCCCCAGGCTTTTTACCTGACACCTCTGCCCCTCTCATCCTTCCCACCCACGCACTCTGCGTTCTGGGACACCCAGCTTAGCCCTGGGGAGGGAACTGGGCTCCATCATGATGTGGCCGGTAGCAGTGGCCACATGGGGCACTTTGTCCTACAGCCCCAAAAAGATGTGAAGCCCCTCCAAGCCCCCTCCCACATCAGCTCCGCCCCCAGCCCCCTGGCCGCTGAGACTGCTCTACTTGCTCCCACAGGTTCGTGAATGTGTCTGCAGACTCTGCCGGGGGCAGCGCCACGTACATGGACCAGGCCCCGTCCCCAGCTGTGTGCCCCCAGGCTCACTATAACATGTACCCACAGAAGTAGGTGGTGTTCTCATGGGTGTCTGCAGGGAGGCACCGGGGACTTGACCTCAGGCTGGATGCCAGACATTCAGTGGGCAAAGGAATCCAGAGCTTGTCTAGGCCTGAGACCCGCCCAGGCTGGACCTGGGCTGGACCCTTCATGTGCCAGGGTGCAGGGTGGGTGAGATTCAACCAGAAGGTATTGGCAGTTTTGGTGGGATAATAGTTGGGCAGATGTCATCTGCTCCCCTCTCCCTAAACAGAAGTATTTTGGTTGTTCTGTATAAGCACCAAATGGGCTTTAGACGTGCCTCGACAGCCAGGGTTAAGAGAGGGTAGGGATAAATAGTTTAATCTGAATCTCTGCACGGCTAGCTACAAAGAACTCTACTCTCTAGTAGAGTTCAGATCAGAAGTCTGTTCTGTTCCCCTGAAGTCCTGGGCTGAGGGTACAGCTGGCTTAGGCCCCATACCTGGTAAGGGTGGGGCTGGAGGTGGTCTCTGCCGCTTATCATTTCTCTCTGGACTCTGACAACATTCCCCCTCCCTTCCCCCTCTCCTCTTTTCCTCCCAAGCCCTGACTCCGTCCTTGACACAGATGGGGATTTTGACCTGGACGACACCATGGACGTCGCACGGCGTGTAGAGGAGCTCTTAGGCCGACCAATGGACAGTCAGTGGATTCCCCACGCACAGTCATGACCCCGTCTCTCCTGCAGCGTCTCCATCCTTGCCGGAAGAACTACTCTTGTGGATGTTTTAATTCCATGAATCGCTTCTCTTTGGAAACAATACTCATAATGTGAAGTGTTAATACTAGTTGTGACTTTAGCATTTCTGTGCATGGTGGCATCTGTGAAGGGAGTGTGTGTGTTGTGTGTGTGTGTGTGTGTGTGTGTGTGTGTGTAAGTATGCACGTAGTGGTGTTCCTCTCCCTTGCTATCCAGGTTTAGCTGCAGCATTGGGGCTACAAACAGAGGCTGTGCTTGTTTTTAACTTGTGCACAAAGGCAGGCAGTTCTGTGAACCCCAGAACTTGGCCATGTGTCTTGAGGGTGGCTAAACTTTGAGACTTGGTTGTTCAAGTAAGAGAAGGACACAGGGAGGGGAAGCACCTCCTCTATGCTGAGAATTCGTCACTGTGTTTGTCAAGCAATTGATACATAACGTGGTTGTCCATGCTTTTCCTCTGAAATTTAGGTAGCAGCCTTCTGACAAAGAAAGCTGGCCCTCCCTCACTCCCTCCGCCCTCACCCTCATTTTCCTGGGTAGCAGTGGGCCGAGGCAACAGACAGAGATTGTTGAGGCAAGGGAAGAAGTGACATGTTTTCTGATGGGTGGTGGCTTTTTAAATGACATTAATACATCTCTGTCCTTCCCTCTTTGTTCTTCCTTCTCTTCCGCTCTCTGTCCCTTACTCTTAGTGGAATTACCACTCAGTTTGTACATGTGTACAGCTGTGCAGACGTGTTTGATGAAACAGAGGAAAGAAAAGAGGGGTCGTGTAATTGAGAGCTTACAGTGTTTCTGTCCTTTGTATTTTGACCTGAGTGGCATGCCAGCCCTGCTGCCAGGCACCCAGAACAGAGTCTTGTTACCCAGGAAGCTGCTGTTCCGTCTGTGCACACTTCCCCCGTGCTGACAGAGGCACAGTTCAGGGCTTTCTTCAGGCTTATTGATACTGCAGTTTTGCAAATGTTGAATGGTGTTTCTGTTTCTAAATCAGGTCTTTTTTGTTCCCCTTTCCCACCCCGATATGACATCAGAACACTCTCTCCCTGTGTCAGGTCCTGTCCCATGTGTACCCAGGTCACTTCATTTCCCATGACTGTTCACACACAAGGACTTGATGAGTGGGTAGCAGGAGTGTGGTCTGAGCCTAGGGCCAGATTGTTCAGGTGTCATTGCCCACCTGTTGCAGGGTGCTGGGTGTCAGGCGTTGGCTGTTTGGGGAAATGCAGTCAGCACAGTTGCTGGGAAGTTTGATAAACTGCCAAAACAAAACAAAATGCCTCAGCATCATTCTGTTCTATAGCTTCTCCTGTAGCTTTACACTAGTAGGAAGGAATGAGTTATGGCAGGGCTACATAGCAGGTGGGTGGGAAGAGGCGGTAAGCAGGTAGCTTACAGGTAAAGCCTACAAGGTAACCCCTAACCCCCCTTTCCAAAAAAAGGCATGACCACACCCAGGAGAGTATGGCCCTAAAAACTTATTTTTATATATGTGAGTAAATAAACAAATATTTTTTTTACAAAAAAATAGCTTCTGAATTTATCAGTGTTTTGATGTTAAAGGAAAATATTCCTCTGTAGTAGATTATTTATTGGAAGATGACTTTTCCAGAGCTGCTGTTTGCCTTGGCTTGGTTTCATACACTGATTTATTTTTCTATGCCAGGCAAGAGAATCTCTCTGCCTCTGAGGAGTAGGCTGACCCTCTGGGAATCCAGCATTGATAGCCAATGCTGCTGAGCCCCTTTCCGACCCCTCAAGACTTGGTTCAAGTTCCAGTCATGAGGATGGGGCTGTTGGGAAAAGGTGAACAGGAAGAACACCTGACCACTCCAGGTGCCAGTCTGAAAGGGCCCTGACCTGTCCCCTCCACTTAGCAAGGCTTTGCCACCTCCTGCCTCTGGTTGATGGCCGCCTGTGTTCCAGCAGGCCTGGCAGAGAGGGGTGGGTGTGGCATACTTCCAGATTGGGGCTGGACTCAGCGCCAGGACAGGCTGAGGGTGCAGCAGCCTGAGCAGTCCTGGGTGCCTCTGCACTCACTCTAGTGTTTGCACTTGGCATTGGGGTTTGAGGGAAGGATGTAGAAGAGAGTGGGGGCCCATGCTTGTACAGTTGCCGAGCTGTCTTCAGTTTTCCTGCGGCTGTGCCTACCGATGGAAGCGATGGTGACCCAAGGGTGCACGCGCTCTCTGCATTGTCTTTTCTTTCTTCTCCCCATTCCTGCAAACCACAGGAGGAGGCGATGGTGAGTCTCGACCATCTCAGCCTCTCGCCTGCTCCCAGACACACACACACAAAAGTCATAAAAATGTTCCAGCTCAGTGCGTGGACTGTGCAGGGTTTTGTAGGGGGTGGGGGGAGACTAAAAGTGAATATAACTTGAAAGTACTTTTTATAATTTTTCTTTTTAAAACTTTGTGAAATTATTTCAGATACATATTTTAGTGTTGAAGCAAGTTATTATATAGCCACCAAAAAAGTATTGTGTACAATTTGGGGCAGTCACACAATTGTGTATTTTATGTTACAATAAAGGTTTCCTCTAGAGGGACAATATTGAGTCCTGTTTTTATTTTTTACCATCAGATGGAAAAGGAGGGTGGCTTTGAAAGAAAGACATTTGAAGTAATCAATGTGACTCTGCAAAAAAGAGCTAGTTGGGAGTTGATGGTCCCAGAGGTGGTTGTCAGCCTTGATGGCCGGTGAGGGCATCTTGTACTATCCTGCTCATGGGATGTTTTTTTAAATAGTATTTTATTGTGTTTTTGGTGAGAGTTAACACAGCAAATTAGGTTTCCGTTTAATATTTTCTACACAAATTTATTCAGTGGCATTGGTCACAGTTTCATAATGTGTCAACATTCTCACTAATTCTGTTCTGGTTGAAAATTAGAATTATATTCTTTGTCTGCTAGCCTCCTAACTCCATAGTCTTCCTATTAGAAAGCCCATCCTTAAGGTTCAGCACATTGAGAGTCCCTGAGCCAAGCATGGTGTGTGAGATGTAAAATAGTTCCTGCCTTCAGGAGGCTTACAGTCAAGGAAAGGCCCATCACACAAATGATTGTGATAGTATTTAGCTGTTGTTGTTGTTATGTGCCGTCGAGTCAGCCCTGACTCGTAGCAACCCCTCCTTGGGTTGCCGAGACAGTATCACTACGGAAGTAGATTGCCCGACCTTCCTTCCGAGGAGTGGCTGGTGGGTTTGAACCGCCAGCCTTCTGGTTAGCAGTCAAGTGCCTTAGGCACTGTGCTACCAGAGCTCCTAGTATTTAGCTAATGAGCTCTGGTAGCATAGTGGCTAAGGCACTTGACTGCTAACCAGAAGGCTGGCGGTTCAAACCCACCAGCCACTCCTCGGAAGGAAGGTCGGGCAATCCTACTTCCGTAGTGATACTGCCTCGGAAACCTAAGGAGGGGTCGCTATGAGTCAGGGCTGACTCGACGGCACATAACAACAACAACAATATAGGATTTTCAAGGTCGTTATAAAATACAAAAGAACATAAAGGAAGGTCACTGAACGGTTTGAATTGATTGAGAGAACTGTTGGTAGCAGACCCACTTTACAAGAAGTAGTAAAGTTCTTCAGACTAAAAGCAAGTAACCTCAGATTTAGATCTGTGCACCAAAACACACACAAGTCTGGTAAAAATAATTACGGAATCATAAAAGACAATATCTATGTATATTTTTTTCTCTTAACTGATTTAAAAAGCAATTGTATAAAACTATATGCATATAATATAGTGTTGGACTTATAATGTATAGAGATGTAATATATTTGCCAATAACAGCACAAAGGAAGTGGGTTGGAGCAAAGCTGTATTGAGCTAAAGCAATGACTCCAGATGGTAACTCAGATCCATAGGAACAAATAAAAAGCAGTAAGAAAGCTGCCATAACAAAAACTGTAAATATATACTTACTCTCCTTTCTTCTCTCAGCTCCTTCAAAAGGTATAAAATCATATAAAATAATAAGTGCACTTTGGGGTTTGTAACACTTAGGAATATCACATGTATGATGATAATACACAAAAAGGAAGAAAGGAGACTAGAGCTGCACAGGAGTAGCATTTCTGTCTCTCACTGGAATTAAGTTTGTATAAATCTGATGCTGATTCTGATAAGATGAATATGATCAACCCTAAATCAACCACTAAAAAGATAACTAGTATATAGATAGTGAAAACAAAAATCATTAAAGAACTAAACTGCTACATTGGGGAATATCACTGCAAAAGAATACAGTAAAGCAGCAATAACAAAACCAAACTCACTGCCATCGGGTCAACTCATAGTGGCCCTTCTTTGGATTTCTGAGGCGGGATCTCTACAGAAGTAGATTGATCAACCTTCCTTCCAAGGAGTGGCTGGTGGGTTTGAACCGCCAGCCTTCTGGTTAACAGTCAAATGACTTAGGCACTATGCCACCAAAGCAGCAATCAATAGAGGAACAAAAAAGACAGACATACAGAAAACAAAAGGTAAAGTGGCCGGCATAAGCTAGCTGCATTAATAATAACATTGCATGTGAATAGACTAAACAATCAAAATGCAGAGATTATCAAACTGGACTTGGGGTGGGGTGAGATTAATCTGTGTTGTCTATAGGAAAACACTTTAGATTCAAAGATACAAATAGTTTGAAAGTAAAATGATGAAAAAAGATAGGCCATGCAAACAGCAACCACAAAATGGGAGAAAATATTTGCAAATTATATATGTGATAAGGGACTTGTATCTAAAATAGATAAAGAACTCTTACAACTTAATAATAAAAAGACAACCCAATTATAAAATAGACCAAAGATCTTAATCGACACTTCTCCAAAGAAGATATACAAATGGCTAGTAAGCACATATGAAGATGCTCCACATCATTAGTCTTTAGAGAAATGTAAATTGAAATTACAATGAAATACCACTTTACACTTTCTAGGATGGCTGTAGTAAAAAGTTAGATAATAACAAGTGTTACTGAGAGTGTGAAGAAACTGGAACCCTCATACATTGCTGGTGGGAATGTAAAATGGAGCAGACACGTTGGAAAACAGAAGTTCCTCAGTTGGTTAAACATAGAGCACTCTGTTGTTAGGTGCTGTGGAGTCGGTTCCCGCTCATAGTGACTCTTTGTACAACAAAGCAAAACCCTACCTGGTCCTGCACCGTCCTCATAATTGTTACCACGCTTGAGCCCATCTATGGGCCACTATGTCAGTCTATCCCGTTGAGGGTCTTGCTTGCCCTTTGTCACTGATCCTCCTCTTTACCAAGCATGATAATCCTCTAGAGA